ACAAGAAGTAAGAGGGAGGTGAAAGTGTATAAACTAAGGGAGGAGGAAGTTTGGGTGAAATATAAGCAGCTATTGGCAGAAAGGTGGGCTGGTGCAGGTATGAGTAGTAGGGGGGGTTGAAGAGGGTTGGAATAGTTTTAAAAATGCAGTATTAGAATATGGGGCAGAAGTTTGTGGTTATAGGAGGGTGGGTGCAGGAGGAAAGAGGAGTGATTGGTGGAATGATGAAGTAAAGGGTGTGATAAAAGAGAAAAAGGTAGCTTATGAGAGGTATTTACAAAGCAGAAGTGTTATAAGAAGAGAAGAGTATATGGAGAGTAAAAGAAAGGTGAAAAGAGTGGTGAGAGAGTGCAAAAGGAGAGTGGATGATAGAATGGGAGAGGTACTGTCAAGAAATTTTAATGAAAATAAGAAAAAATTTTGGAGCGAGTTCAATAAGTTAAGAAAGCCGAGGGAACAAATGAATTTGTCAGTTAAAAACAGAGTAGGGGAGTTAGTAGATGGAGAGATGGAGGTTTTGGGTTGAGGGCGAGAATATTTTGAGGAACTTTTAAATGTCGACGAAGAAAGGGAGGCGGTAATTTCATGCACTGGACATGGAGGTATACCATCTTTTAGGAGTGAAGAAGAGCAGGATGCGAGTGTGGGGGAGGTGCGTGAGGCATTACGTAGAACGAAAGGGGGTAAAGGAGCTGGAACTGACGGGGTCATGACAGAAATGTTAAAACCAGGGGGGGACATAGTGTTGGAATGGTTGATATTTTTGTCTAATAAATGTATGAAAGAGGGGAAGGTACCTAGGGATTGGCAGAGAGCGTGTATAGTCCCTTTATATAAAGGAAAGGGGGACAAGAGAGATTGTAAAAATTATAGAGGAATAAGTTTACTGAGTATACCAGGAAAAGTGTACATTAGGGTTATTATTGAAGGAATTAACCTTTAAACGGTCCAAACGTATATATACGTTCATGTGCGTAGCACCCCAAATGTATATATACGTTTTCTTTGTCATTCATTCAACATTGCCACAAAAGCCTGAGTCACCTCGACATGAGAGAATGGGTGTGTGCACTCACTGTGTTCCATATTAAAATAATAGGGGGATGCCTGGGTACCATATGCTCTTTTTTCCTTTTAAAAGAAAAGATTTCTTTTTTCCTCAAAAAATTTGGGGCGCTACGCGAGTGAACGTATATATACGTTTGGACCATTTAAGGGTTAAAAGGCAAGACAAAATGTAGAATTGCGGATGAGCAAGGAGGTTTTAGAGTGGGTAGGGGATGTGTAGATCAAGTGTTTACATTGAAGCATATATGTGAGCAGTATTTAGATAAAGGTAGGGAAGTTTTTATTGCATTTATGGATTTAGAAAAGGCATATGATAGAGTGGATAGGGGAGCAATGTGGCAGATGTTGCAAGTACATGTATATGGAATAGGTGGTAAGTTACTAAATGCTGTAAAGAGTTTTTATGAGGATAGTGAGGCTCAGGTTAGGGTGTGTAGAAGAGAGGAAGACTATTTCCCAGTAAAAGTAGGTCTTAGACAGGGATGTGTAATGCCACCGTGGTTGTTTAATATATTTATAGATGGGGTTGTAAAAGAAGTAAATGCTAGGGTGTTCGGGAGAGGGGTGGGATTAAATTATGGGGAATCAAATTCAAAATGGAAAGTGATAGTTACTTTTTGCTGATGATACTGTGCTTATGGGAGATTCTAAAGAAAAATTGCAAAGGTTAGTGGACGAATTTGGGAGTGTGTGTAAAGGTAGAAAGTTGAAAGTGAACATTGATAAGAGTAAGGTGATGAGAGTATCAAATGATTTAGATAAAGAAAAATTGGATATCAAATTGGGGAGGAGTATGGAAGAAGTGAATGTTTTCAGATATTTGGGAGTTGATGTGTCAATGGATGGATTTATGAAGGATGAGGTTAATCATAGAATTGATGAAGGAAAAAAGGTGAGTGGTGCATTGAGGTATATGTGGAGGCAAAAAATGTTTTCTATGGAGACAAAGAAGGGAATATATGAAAGTATAATGGTACTCATATGGGTGTGAAGCTTGGGTTGTAAATGCTGCAGCGAGGATTCGGTTGGAGGCAGTGGAGATGTCCTGCCTAAGGGCAATGTGTGGTGTAAATATTATGCAGAAAATTCAGAGTGTGGAAATTAGGAGTAGGTGTGGAGTTAATAAAAGTATTAGTCAGAGGGCTGAAGAGGGGTTGTTGAGGTGGTTTGGTCATTTAGAGAGAATGGATCAAAGTCGAATGACATGGAGAGTGTATAAATCTGTAGGGGAAGGAAGGCGGGGTAGGGGTCGTCCTCGAAAAAATTGGAGGGAGGGGATAAAGGAGGTTTTGTGGGGGAAGGGCTTGGACTTCCAGCAAGCATACGTGAGCGTGTTAAATAGGAGTGAATGGAGACGAATGGTATTTGGGACCTGACGAGCTGTTGGAGTGTGAGCAGGGTACTATTTAGTGGAGGGATTCAGGGACACCAGTTATTTTTATATAGCTGGACTTGAGTCCTGGAAATGGGAAGTACAGTGCCTGCACTTTAAAGGAGGGGTTTGGGATATTGGCAGTTTGGAGGGATATGTTGTGTATCTTTATACGTATATGCTTCTAAACTGTTGTATTCTGAGCACCTCTGCGTAAACTGTGATTGTGTGAGTTGAATGATGAAAACATTTTTTCTTTTTTGGGTTCCCCTGCCTTGGTGGGAGACGGCCGACTTGTTGAAAAAAAAATGTGTGTGTGTGCGCGTGTGTGCGTGCGTGCGTGTGTGTGCGCGTGCGTGTGTGCGTGCGTGCTACTTGTCTCACACCTTAGCTTCATGAAGAGGATCTCAGTGTGAGGTCAGTAAAACTCCGTTTCAATTACTGTTTTGTCTCCACGTGAATTTGGTTGTCTCGTTGGTACATGGTTATTACCCTTGTTTTTGGATTTCCTTTCTCAAGGAAAGTTCCTTGTGCTGGTTAACCCATAAATGGTTCAAACGTATATATACGTTCTTACCGCTAGTCCCCCAAACGTAAATATATGTTTTATTTTTCCTGCCTCCAAATTTGGCACAATTGGCCTGAGATGCCTGGTCAGCATAGAATGGGTCTTAACACTCGGTGTGCACCATATTAAAAAAAATCTGGGACTACTTAGTACCTTGTGGGGGTGCCAGTTATATTAAGCACCAGCTGGAGCAAACAGTGGGGCAAACACCAAGGATTCACTGATGTAATGTCATATTAACACTCCCCTTTTAAGAGGAAAATTATGTTAACCCCAAGTTTAGGGTCTCTGTCTATTTCTGTCTGTCTATATCTGTCTGTCTCACAGGTACACACAAATACAATTATACATAGTGTAAATTACCTAGGATAATCTAAAAAATCTGAAGTGCTATACTGTGCTTGTAGATGTTTAAGAATACCTGTTGGTTCACAGCAGCTCTCTGAGACAGACAGAGAGACAAGCAGAGAGATGGAAATGACAAGCAGACAGAGAAATAAGACAGAGAGACAGATAATCAGAGATACAAGCTCATCAAATGTCATCCCTTATCTCTGCATCTTCACTGGCACCCATCAAATGTCATAGCTTATCTCCTCTTATCTCTGCACCCTCACTGGAGCCCATCAAATGTCTCATATCTGATCGTATCACTGCCCTCCCGGATGCTTGTCACTGAACATTCGTCTTACAAATTGCTTCAAGGGAATTTCTTCCTTCTTCTTCTTCTGTACTCCCGTGTATCCAAAACATTGCTGGGACCTATAAATACTTTGTATATATTCCTAGACAATAGTAAATGACCAAAGCAAGTGTAAATGTCCACCTGTCAATGTGTTTGTGACAATTTGAGAACAATTTCAATACCTCATATTAGTGTGAGAACAAAGATTGGTTATGAAATGACAAGAACTACAATAAGTTGTAATTATCAGAACATAAAAATTATATAAAATAATATAAAAATGAGAAAAAATGGTATATCTGCAACACTTCTTTATTTTTTCAAAATATTAGGGGCACTGGGGTAGTGAACGTATATATACGTTTGGACCATTTACAGGTTAAAGGCTCTTGTTCCAAGGAACTGGAGCTACCTTCTCTTTCCTCAAATCAAACCTGCTTTCTTCAGATTCCCCATGCACTCTATGATGCCTTTGAGTTTAGTGCATTTCCATAAATGCAGTAATAATGTTGGGAGGTATGTGTGAGAAACTGGGAAACTTGCTGTGGCAGTTCATTCATGTGTGTTTTTAATGTTAGAGTAGAACTTGCACATTGATAAATAATGGCAGCATTCAGATAGATACATTAGAATTATGTTTAGTGGTTATTTTTTACAATTTAATTTTTTTTTTTTTATGGATTTTGAAATACAGTATATCTGTCTTGTTTGGAATGATTTGTATATGGGAAACTTAATTGTATGCATTAGATTGATTGCTTTTCAGGATCAAACTTTCATCCCATTCTGCACGCTCATCACATGGCAGTATTATTATGGCACCTTCAGGTACCAAGATTGCTGATATATAAATACTATATATATAGTGCCTGTACACTGAAGGCTTGTGGAAAGAGAAGTGGCACCATACCATATTAAGATATAACATCAAGGAGAGGCCTTCATTAGCATTCAGCATGGAAAGGGCTCCTATTAATGGAAAGTGGTTGTATTGTCACCAAAAGAGGCAATTAGATGTCCAATTTGTAACTAATTAAACAGAGTAAAAAATCACTCCAGTACCTGGGTATTTTGTACACACAGTTTATGTATGGGTAATGTGGCATCTGTGGCTGGGTTTGTTTTATATGGGGCTCTCAGAGAGGGAGTTGATACATAGTCCCAAGCAGTGCATGTTGGGGGGGACAATGGCACTGTCCCTAGTAAAGGGCTGAGAAGAAAACCCAAGAGCAAGTCAGCAAGAAGATATGCTCAGCTGTGGGTGGTCTTATGACCTGAATGTGACCACCAGACTGGTCCTACTGCAGATTCACGGTGCTGCGTCAGGAGAAGCCAACGGGTCAAGGTCAAGCAGCCTTGGGTTTAGAGGACAGACGGCAACAGACTCAAGCATCACGACGCAATCAACGGTTAGCAGCACAAATGGAGCGTCGACCTGCAGTTGTAGCAGCTTTGAAGCTAAAGAAGGTAAGAGTTTGTGGTAAGAGTACTATATATGATCATACAGTGGACCCCCGGTTATTGGCCGTAATCCGTTCCAGAAGGTCGGCCGATAACCGAAATGGCTGAAAACCGAATTAACATTTCCTATAAGAATTAATTGAAATACAATTAATCCACTCCAGACAAAAATATTCACACAAAAAAAATATTTTTTTTAACAATTATGTAAGTATTACATACCTTCATTGAAGGCTAATGCTGACTTCTGGAAGATAGGGAAGAGGAAAGAGGGAGGAGTTAGTGTTTGGAAGGGGAATCCCCCTGCATAAAGACTTAAGGTAGCAAAGCCTTCTCTGGGGTAACTTCCCTTCTTTGTCTTTTAATGCCACTAGGACCAGCTTGAGAGTCAGTGGACCCCTGTCTCACAAAATAACTGCCCAGAGTGCTCTGTTTCTGGCATCTTTAAGATTTCCCTGAAGTGGGACAGGGTTTTGTCACTAAACATGTTGCAGATATGGCTTGTTTCAGCTTTGTCAGGGTGGTGTTTCTCTACAAAAGCTTGCCTTACAACACTGTGTGTGCCACTACGCTTCTTAAATCTTTTAAACCATCCTTTGCTGGCCATAAATTCACAAACTGCAGCACTTGTTCCAGGCATTTTCTTTGCAAGATCCTCATGCAACTGCCTTGCCTTCTCATAAGTAATAGACTCCACAACATTGTCTCCTACTAATTCTTTTTTCTTAATCCACAATAATAATTTTTCCATCTCTTCCATTTTTGGTTGCCTTTGTTTAGTTAGAAAAGTTACTCCTTTTGCAACATTAGCGTCTTTGTTTTGTTCTTTCTTTGCCAGGATGGATGTAATTGTTGATTTATTCTTGCTGTACATCCTGGCAAGTTCCACCACCTTCATACCACTCAAAATTTTCTATCACTTCATGCTTAAATTCCATGGTGTTTCTCACTTTCTTTACCACAGGAACTTTCTTTAGAGCCATGGTTACTTATTTCACAGTTGCACTGCAAAAACCCACTAAAGTCAATGCAAAACAAGCAAAACGTCTGGATGTATGAGCAGAAGCGTCCTCAGCCACCGAGAAACAAAGCCAAACTGATGTGTAGGCGGCCCCAGCCAGTGGAATGATGCGTCCCAAATGGCTGATAACCAAATTAACGGCCGATAACCGGGCGTCCGAAAAACCGGCCAATAACCGAGTTGGCCGATGACATAACCGGCCGATAACTGGGGGTCCACTGTATTTAATAAAAAGTCAAACTAATGAATGCATTACAAAATACTAGTACATGTAATTCTTTATTTTAAAAGAAATTTTTAGCACTTTTTTCCCATAAAAGCAAGGGGGGGCTCTAGTGTAAAAGCATTCATCTTCACTATTACCTGGCTGTCTCAGGAAGTACAGACATCACAATGCAAAGGACCCACCTAATCATATTCCCACATACAGCTAGCCAACCTTTTTCCCAAAATCCATTCATAGATATAACCTTGCTCACACTCTGCATGTCAAATCCCAAATATCACCTACCCCCTCACTTAACCTAACAAATTTGCACATTCCAGCTCCCCTACTGCTCAAAACCACCATCACATCTTCCTTTCAGTTCAATTTCTCCTACACAATCGTCCATCCACCCTGGATTTATGAATCCTTCTGGTCTGCCTGTCTTGCTTTTATAATTTCTTAATGGCAAAAACCATCTCAATAATTCTGTGAAGCCAACAAGACTGGAAAATGTACTTTACCTTTATTTATTTATTTATTTATTTATTTTCAATTTGTGCACACATACAGAGGTACAAAAAAATACAGATAAGAGCAGTATGCCAAAGCCACTTATACTATGCATAGCATTACGGGCTGGCTTAAAATTAACTTAAGATTAACTAAGCAATGATTATTATTATTATTATAATCAAAAAGAAGCGCTAAGCCACAAGGACTATACAGCGCTGCTACTAAGCAATGATGAAATCAGTGATAAAACATTAATGTAAACAGATAACTATAAAGCACAAGTGAGTATTACAAAGACAGGTCATATGGTTGCATTCAGTTAGGTAGTGATTCTGTTAGGTAGTGTATTTAAAAAATAATAAGTTAGATTGGGTTTTAGGTTTAACATTTATGTGATATAATTGTGAGAAACATTTAAGATATACAATTTATAATGTTCAGTTATTCAGTATTTATTTGGTTTTGGGTGAGTAAGTAATCTTTGAGAAGAGACTTGAATTTATAAACAGGTTGTGTTTCTTTTATATTTACAGGTAATGAATTCCAGATTTTAGGGCCTTTTATGTGCATTGAGTTTTTGCATAGTGTGAGATGGACACGAGGAACATCAAAGAGTGATCTGTGCCTTGTGTTATGGTCATGTGTTCTGTTGAGGTTGGCAAGGAGATGTTTGAGGGGAGGGTTAATATCAGAGTTAAGTGTTCTATGTATGTAATAGGTGCAGTAATAAGTATGGATGTTTTGTATGGTGAGTAGGTTTAGTGTATTGAATATTGGTGGAGTGTGCTGCCTGTAGTGAGAATTTGTTATCATTCTAACCTTATTTTCATAAATGATGATCTGGTGTGAAATATAACAGTATCGAAGACAGTTCAGATCACAAATTATTACACCAACTTAGAGTTCTGTTTTGCTTGCACCAACTCCTACCTTATCCTAACTCTGCACACCCCTGCCTCTTACTCATTCTTAACTTTTGCACATTTCTACTTTCATGCATTCCCCCCTTCATCTGTGTGTGACCCTTATGGGTTTAGCATTTAATTTATATTAATAATAAACATTGGACTTAAAAAAGCCAATGATACCATGCACATGCACTGTCCCAGACCCAGACTCATGGAGCTCAGTGTTTATCAAGAACTGCAAGAAATGCCAGTATTATATGGAGAGGGAGCCTGGCCATGGGTCATCCCACAGTTCTTAAAAACAACAGATATATATAGCCCCACTCCACAAAGGTGGCAGCAGTGCAATAGCAAAGAATTATAGACAGTAGCACTTAACATCACACATTATAAAATATCTTTGAAAAGGTTCTAGGATTAAGATTGTCATCCATTTGGATTCCCAACAGTTGCAACTACTGGACCACTATAACATGTTCCTGGATGCACTGGAGTACATACGGAGCCAGTCACGGCATTATGCTGGGTGAGCCCACTGGCATAATGCCAGGATGAAAATCAAAGGCCTCCCTTACAGGGAGGTCTCTTTTTGTCTGTGCATTATGCCGGGTAGCAGCCGTTAGAATGATATCACGGCCTGCTGCCACACTCCACAGTGACTCCTCAGTGCTCATGTGGCTGCCGTGATGAGAGGAAGTGTTGAACTTTTGTATTTCATCCGCCCCATCTTTTGTCCGGTGTTCCCTTTGGCTTTGGGGCTATACATGTTTGATTATAAGTAAAATGAAGTCTTTAACACCTGAAACTATAGGTTAAATCATAGGGCTTCACAAAGTTGGGCACCAGACGAAAGAAATAGACGAGAATTTTGGTGTGTGAGAGCGTTCAGTGAGGAACTGAGTGCAGTGTTTCAGGGCTGGTGGCAGTGTTGAGTTACCATCTGCCAAACCTCGGCCTGGCCCCTCGAAGAAGACATCTGTTCATACCTTAACTGTGTTAAAGAAGCAGTTAGAGAGTACACCTAAGATAACTGCTAGAGAATTGAAAGAAAAGAACCCACATCTCTCAGAAGTGTCTGTAAGAACTGTTAACAGACGTGTGTGAGAACTGGTCTACAGTAGTCACTGCCAGGTTAAGAAACCGATCCTCTCCAAGCCACAGAAGACATGTAGGCTGGATTATGCATAGAAATATCTTCAATGGAGTCTTCAACAGTGGCCTGAAGTACTTTGGAGTGATGAAGCAATCTTCACTGTCACCTGTAACCGTGGTGAACATGTGTACCGGCCAAGAGGTAGTGACCCGCTAGACCCACAGCTGCACCTGTGGGACCACCAAACAGCCAGACTCACTCATGGTTTGGGGGTGTTTCAGTGCTCAGAGTGTTGGTGAACTCATTGTGCCTCCTAAAAACCAGTATATGAACCAGTGTAATTACCTGAAGTTATTGTATGACAATTTACCTGAAGTGTTGGACAAGTGTGGGGATACAGTTTTTATGCAGGATGGTGCACCGTGTCATCCTGCCGAATCTGTAGTTCAGTGGCTTAAGGACTGTGAAGTGAGGTTCTTTAATGACTGGCCACGCAATTCCCCAGACCTAAGCCCTATTGAGAACCTCTGGTCAATAGTGAAACGAAGTTTACTGGGCAAAGATTTCAGTTCCATCCTGCGGTTGGAGGCTGCTCTACATAAGGCATGGAATAATATGCAGTGGAACCCTGGTTTCTGTCTTGAATTTGTTCCAGAAGGTTGGCCGAAAACCGATTCGTACGAAAATGAAGTAATATTTCCCATGAGAATTAATGTAAATCCAATTAATCTGTTCCAGACACCAAAAAATATTAACATACAGAAAACAATGATAAATAAATATAAAGCACTAATGAAATGGATAAATGAGCATTTAACATCACTTTTACCTTTATTGAAGACTCTTGTTGGCATATGGAAGACAGCGAGGGAGGAGAGGTTATTGTTTGGAAGGGGAATCCCCCTCCATAAGGACTTCAGGTATCAAAGCCCTATCCGGGGTTACTTCCCTTCGTTGTGTTTTACTGGCAGTAGGACCAGCTTTCGAGTCACTGAATCCCTGTTTACATTCATAAACTTTTCTTTCCACAGATTCTGAAATTCAACTGCCTTTTTCACATCTGACACATCTATTCTTGTATATCTTATAGCACTCCATGTTCTTTCCAATCTAACATCGTCTTTCTTTGCCTTGACTTCTTACTCTGATCAACTTTTTTTCTTGTGTGTGTGTGTGTGTGTGTGTGTGTGTGTGTGTGTGTGTGTGTTTCATTTTCACTCCCTTCTTTTACACCCTCACAAACCTCTTTAAAAACTTTTGCAATCTTTCTACTCGATGTTTTACAACCACTGTCATCAAAGAGTAACTGCAATAACTCCCACCTCATTTTAGATTCACTTTTTATACCTATACCTACGCAATACCCAAATATTTATTTTAGTATTTCATCTGGAAAATGCCCATTCTCTCCTGCATATAAATCTAAGCTTCATTTTTCTCATAAAAGCTCAAAAGTGTTTAACAGTCTTCCACTTGTTTAGTATCTTTGCAATACCTGCCATATCACTTCTCTTTCCACCCAAATCATATGCCATTTCCAAATCCATACATGCAACTAGGGCCAGATTATCTATTGGGCACAGTGGGCACAGTACCCAGGGGTTACAAAAACATTTTTGGCATAAAAATCAGACATTAAAAATGAGAGAACTGCTAGATCAAACTTAGTAATTTGCTTTGAATTACTGTATAAAATCTTTTAACCTGACCTTGATGTGAACTGTACTTCGTTTACACATGCCTAGGGCCAGCAAAGACCTAAACCCTGTCAAACTTGTTTGGTATAGTGCAAAAATTAGAGTTAAAATAAATGAATTTTACAAATTTAATGGGAAATATTATCAATAGTCAGGTGGGAATAAGGAAGGAAAAGACCTGGGTGAAGATTTAACTTCAGTATTATGTATTCAGCCTCTCCTCACTTAATGATGGAGTTCTGTTCCTAAGACCACATTGGTAAATGAATTTGTCGCTAAGTGAGGAGCATACTGTAATGGTAGTGCGTTTGTGTCGGCCATCTTTGATATTGTTTTAATATCACCTTTGCACTATTTATAACATTTCCAGTATATTTTTAATTGTTTATACAGTAGTGTACTGTATATGGTAATAAACAGAATAGAGGAAATCAGCTCTAATATACATTATTTAGGTATGCATACTGGTCAGAGAGCCTGTCGTAAGTCCGAGTCATTGGTAAACGAGTACATTGCTAAGTGAGGAGGCTGTATATTAATACTTTTTTTAATGCAATGCACTTCACTAGCAAAGAACACAAAATATACAGGTGCTGATTTTCAGAAAAGTGTCGAGCAACGTCTTAATGGTCCACGACCACTGTCAGTGAAGCAGCGGCTAGCGGTGAAAGGGCGGTTAAGTGTGCCTGATGAAGCTGGAATGGGGTCCTTGATCACACGAGGACGTGGAGGCCTAAGAGGACTTCGGGGATCCAACTTTAGAGGAGCAACCTTCCGGGGTGCAGTTTCAAGAGGTGGACGTGGAGGAGCAATTGGATTAAGAGGTACAGCACTCTACTTTTCATTAAAATATATTGTTGATACCCTATTCCCACTCATCCCACCCCTGGAAACTGCCTTTCTTCTCCAGCACTACAAATTTCTCCCTACACTTGTGTCACCTCTTCCAGTTTCCCAACCATCCTCACTCTGCCTCACTACTTTTGCCTCCCCACCTCTCTCCATTACCAATTTTCCCACCACCTTCAACCCACCTCCACAATCACCACCACCACCACAGCCAACTTCTCTTGTTCTTGCTATCCCATCGATCACCACCACAACCTCCACTTCCAATTAGTCTTATCTCTTTCATTGCATTGGAAAATTCTAGGTGGTAATTTGGTATTGATTTGCCACTTGGAATCCCTGTGCTGTACCTAAGAAGATAAGGACAAGTTGTGTTTATTAATTATTATGCAGTATAACAAATTGACATGAATGATGTTACATCATCTACATGAATAGTTCATACGCTTCTTTTAAAAGAGGTAAGAATATTCCTGTCCAGAAAGAACTGTTTTAAGGTTCTCCATATGCCTGTTATTGCACTCACTCCTCCTGCTGAGACATTGCAGAGCTGTTACCCAGATGCAAAGGTTTCTTTCCACTGCACTCAGCATCATTAATGCAATCCTTAACTCTTTCAGTGTCAGTCACATTACATTAAGGCTTTGAAGTCAGTGTTAGTCCCGTTATATCATCGCTTTGAAGCTAGTGTCAGTCCCATAATATAACACCATAAGCTTAGCTCACTCAGATAAGCTGTGAGCTGTAAATTTGGGCCTAGATATGAGAGAATGGGTCTATGCAGTAAGTCTGCACCATATAAAAAAAAAATCCTGCAGCATGCTGTGCATGAGGAAGAAAAAGTGCGACCATGTGTTTGGTTTAACACTTAACCCTTTAACTGCTTCGGTCGTATATATATATATATGTCTTACGAGCCACTCTGTTTGACGTATGTATACTCATAAATTCTAGCAGCTTCAAATCAAGCAGGAGAAAGCTGGTAGGCCCACATGTGAGAGAATGGGTCTGTGTGGTCAGTGCACCATATAAAAAAAATTCTGCAGCATGCAGTGCATAATGAGAAAAAAAAGCTGATCGTTTGTTTTAATTAAAATGCCGAATTTGTGGTTTATTTTCATATAGTATTTATGGTTATATTCTCATTTTCTTGGTCTCATTTGATAGAGTGGAAAACATATAGAAATAGAGGTGATTTTGATTGGTTTTTCTATGAAAAGAACCTTGAAATGGAGCTCAAAGTAGGGGAAATGTTTGATATTTGCCGATGTTCAAAAGTAAACAAATGATGTCATTGTCCAATAAATGTCCAACTAGCCATTCTAATATGCAGTCATGAATGATATGACATTATTTATACAATTATTACAATGTTGCAGTAGTCTGCATAACAGTAAATCTTCTATTTTTTGTTTGAATAAAAATTCAAAATAGAAACCAAGAGTAATATCAGAGGGGCCTGGAGATGTGGTTGATGAACAAAGAGTTATTTTAGAGCCAGGAATGTCTGCAGTGTTCATTCTGGACCCTATTTTGAAATTGTCATATTTTTTAATTTTCATGAAATTGGCCAGGTTGGAAATTTCTGATTGAGTAGTTGAAATCAGTAAATGGGCAGTTTCTTGTACTCAATCGATAGAAAATATGGAGTTCTAAAGAAATAGCTATCAGTGTGGTCAACTGGAACCATGGAGTTAGCCAAAAATAGGGCTCAAAGTGGGCGAAATCGCTGATTCGTAAATATCGCCGAGGTCGCTAACTTCGCGAGAGCGTAATTCCGTCAGTTTTCCATCAAATTACATGTATGTTCTTTTGGTGTCATTACCATCGGCAAGAGATTATCTATCATTTCGTGAGAAATTTTTTTTTTTCCGACACCAGGAGCCACCTCAGGATTTGGGGTTGCAACAGTCGAGGGGTTAAACTGTCCAAATGTAGATCTGTGTTCACTCGTGTAGTGCTCCAAATATTTTGAATTTTTTTTTTTTAAATGAAGCATAATTTTATAAATGTTATAGGATAAATAAAAAACTTTTAGGGCCACTACTTACCAAGATACAAGCCCACAAAGTTGGTGCTAAATAATGAGGTGTCGGCAACATGGAGCACTGCCGCTTGTAGAAACAATAAACATTTATTGTTTTTTCCCAATTCTTTTCTGTTTTCTGTTATTTTCATGTTATGATAATGTTTTGTTCCTGATCTTTTGATTTAATAGCCAATTCTTGTTGAGACAAATGTTTGGTACTGAATTAGTAATCGTACTGTCAGAAACACACACATTCACACTGATATATGAATTTGTACACCTGGTTCAATCTTGTACTATTGTTTACATATACAGTGAACCCTCGGCTAATGATATTAATCCGTTCCTGAGAGCTCATTGTTAGACAAAATTATTGTTAGCCGAATTAATTTTCCCATAAGAAATAATGGAAATCCAATTAATCCGTTCCAGACAGCCAAAAGTATTAAAAAAATAATTTTTTTTTTCATGAAATATACATTTCCCTATAAAGAAAACAATGAGACATGCACGATAACTATATAAATAAATGTTATAATGACACATACCTTTATTGAAGAGTATTGATGAGTGATGAGACTGTTTTTCTGGAAAACACTGGGATTTTCAGAGTGATACATGAGTAAAGGCTTTACTTTGCAATTCCTACTAGCATTACAACAAACAAGAAAGTTAGCCTGTCTTTCATAGGCTTGTGTCCTGGAAGTGCCTTTTCCTCCTGAGTAATGTAGGTCCTGTTTGGCATTTTCTTCCAGAACAGACCTTATCACACTGTGTATGCCACTATGATTCTTAAATCTCTCAAACCAACCTTTGCTGGCCTTAAATTCACCAATATGAGCACTAGTTCCAGGCATTTTTTCCTGTTCACCTGGGTGTTAGTCAACTGGTGTGGGTCGCGTCCTGGGGGACAAGATTAAGGACCCCAATGGAAATAAGTTAGACAGTCCTCAATGGCTCACTGACTTTCTTGGGTTATCCTGGGTGGCTAACCCTCTGGGGTTAATGGTTTCTCGGTAATTGCTTCTCGTTAAGCCACACCAACAACACACTCCACATCTTCGAGTAGTACAGCTGACGGTGGTGTAGCAACAGCTGGCGGTGGTGCAGCAACAGCTGGCGGTGGTGCAGCAACAGCTGGCGGTGGTGCAGCAACAGCTGGCGGTGGTGCAGCAGCAGCAGCAGCTGACCATGGTACAGCAACAGCTGACCGTTGTACAGCAGCATCAGCTGACTGTGGTACAGTAGCAGCAGCATACCGTGGTACGATAGTATTTTGAGAGTATTTCTCACCCTTTTTACCACAGGGTTGGCACTAGAAGCTTTGTTTGGGCCCATGGTGGCTTATTTAGCAGCTACAAGCACTATAAACAATTGAATAATACAAAATGTATCGAATGCATGCATTGAACCGGCCACCCTGGCTGGTAAACAATGACTGCAGGGCAGCTGAGGCACTCAGGCTGGACAGAATGGTTTGGGACGAATCACATTGGGCGAGTTTTTATCGTTAGCCAGGCCAAAATTTTTGCACCCAAACGCTTCGTTGGGTGGATTTAACGTTACGCGATGCGTTCGTTAGCCGAGGGTCCACTGTATATACAGTGGTCCCTCAATTATCGTCCTTAATCCATTCCTGGAAGTGGGACTATTATCAAAATAGATGATTTTCGAATCAATTTTCCCCCATAAGAAATAATGGAAATCCAATTAATTCATTCCAGACACCCAGAAGTATCAACAACAGATTTTTTTTTTTTTTTTTTTTTACCTAAAAGATAGATTTACATGCACAGAAGAATGAACATTCAACATGACAGTTACCTTTACTGAAGGCTGTTGTTGATGAATGGAAGACAGGGAGGAGGAGAGAGGGAAGAGAGGTTATTGTTTGGAAGGGGAATCCCCCTCCATAAGGACTCTAGGTCACTTCAGGGGTCACTTCCCTAGCATAAATATAGATTTACATGCAGAAAAAAATGCCAAATAAATGTAAAGCACTAATAAAATGTATAAATGTATAAATGAACATTGGTAATAGGGGTAGTTGATGAGTGGAACAGTCTGCCTAGTAGGGTGATCGAAGCTAAAACATTGGGTAGTTTCAAATTTAGGTTGGATAAATACATGAGTGAGAGGGGTTGGATTTGAGTCGGACTTGCACCTGAGTTTATTGCTTGGGTAACATTTGTTCTGTTAGTGGGTTGGATTTGTGAAGGACTGGCCTAGTATGGGCCAACAGACTTATTGCAGTGTTCCTCCTTTCTTATGTTCTAAAAGCTATGGCTTGGGAAGTTTCAAATTTAGGTTGGATAAATACACGAGTGAGAGGGGTTGGATTTGAGTCGGACTTCCACCTGAGCTTATTGCTTGGGTAGCATTTGATCTGTTAGTGGGTTGGATTTATGAAGGACCGGCCTAGTATGGGCCAGCAGGCCTACTGCAGTGTTCCTCCTTTCTTATGTTCTTATTGAAGACTTGTTTGTGTGAGGGAGGGATGGTAAGTTTATTGTTGGAGAATATGACGCTAATATCAACTCTACGGCTTATTTATCTATCACAATTCAACTAATATGACATAATAAACAATATTAATAACATAGAAACATGGAATATACTCTAGAATGAATAAAATAAGTCATTACGTATGTCATGAGAGGTGTTGTGTTGTTGTTGGGTATATAAGGGCCACTGAGAGTAAGCCGTCCATAATGATGGTGAAGCAGCAGCTGAGGCGGCAGTGTTTTCTGTAGCCCTATATAACTCCAACAACATTGGAGGAGTTGGTAGAATTGCTGAATCACTGAAGATGCCCTCTACCACCATCACTACGACCTTCTACCACTATTACAACTGTTACCACCATCACTACTACCTTCTACCACCATCAACCACTATCACAACTGCTTCCACTCTACCACCACCACCTTTGTATTTTTCTACAAA